ATATCTGAGCTCTTTTGTAGTTTTTTGCTTCCTCATGGGAAGACCATAAAGAGTGCTGTCCTCATTTAGGAATAGAATGGCATGTTCTCTGCAAGTCCCATGTGTTTGGGTGCATAGGTCTACCTACCTTCAGTGAAACTAAATCTGCCATGCTGCTTCTCTGTGCTGCCACATGGTGTTTCAGGTTCACCTGTCTTAAAAGTTTCAGTTTGTTGACCGCTTGCCTGTGGCTGGGCTTTTGCCTTTGTCATAGCCAAGTGAACAAGTCTTAGAGTTTGAACTGCATCTTGTGCTTTGCCCATCTTGCACTGAAGGTCAGAAGAGGTTTTTAATGCAATAGATTTCTAAGGTTTTATATTTTTATTTATTTATTAACATATTTCTGCGGAAGTATGTCACTTCCCTTAAATCAGACTTTACTGCTTCATTCTCTGCCTTTCCCACCTAAATCTCCTCCATAAATAATCTCCCAGCATGCCTTCCTATGGATGCCACATTTCCCAAGCTGGTTGGGACTAAACGGACTAGCTGAATACTTACTTAGTCGTGTGAGCTAACTTGCTGTGGTGGTGCACACTCCCATTTTCAAGTCATTGATTTTTCAGGTTTGCTTGGCTGGGCTTAAAATGCAACATATGTCCTGTAAGGTGGCCATGTCTTGTGAAACTTCAACCTTTAACTCTGACCTTAACTTAATTGGACATTCCTTAGAATTCAGGCATGGTTTTCAAAAGGATCTGAGGATTGGGTTAGGCTTGCTCCATCTTGGGATTTACCATAAAACAGTAAACCAGTGTGAATGGATTTTAGCTTAGGAAGCAGTTTATGCCAAGATTGGAGTATCGATTCAGCAATCATCAGGCCTTGGTTATTGTTTTGGCTCTAATAAGCAGTTTGTGTGCCTTCCAGCAACAACTGGAAAGCTGCAATTAGGATAGTGTTATGGTTGGTAAAACAGGGATATGGTAAAAGCGTCATTGTGACCTCCAGCTGTGTTCTGTGCAGCAAATAATCTGACATATTTCTCTCTATGAGGAAGTCTGCTATGTGGATACAATAAACCCCAACATAGCTTTAAAATTAGCTTTAGCTTGTGAATGATGGATGTCAAGTATGGTAGCTCATTCAATTCCAACATAGAATATGAGAGAAATATATTTCAATTAACACCACAGTGGTCTCTTGGGTAGCTTGTATGGGAGTGTCAAACTAGAGCCCTCTTTGTGTCTTATGTAATACCAGCCATTCCTTCCTGTCTTGAACAAATAAACTGTCAACCAAGGAAAACAAATTACTCTGATTCTACTCTCATTTTCAGCTTTTTATGCAGTTTATGTGACAGTTTTGTGGCTTCCCCTGGAATTCTGTGTGCTTTCAAATTAATGCTTGTGGCAAGTTTGCAGTTCTGTAACAAGACTAAGTAAAGTGCATTACTGCTTTTCTTTCCTGTTATGCATATCTAGTTGAGTGCTGCTGTCTATGTTCATGTTCGACGGAGCACACTCCCTTTTCAGTAACACTCAGAGCAGGTGATGATCCTCCCAGTCTTTTAGGGTAGCTTTTGATGTATTGTGGGGTGGTGGTTGTGGGGTTTTGTCTTGTTTTTGTTTTAAGTGTGCACAATCTTTCTCCAGGATATGTGAATGCACGACTGGAGAAGGAAACACCAATATTTAACAAGCAAAGGATTGATTTTGCTCCTCCAGAGAAGATTAACAGCTTAGTGGTCTCCTCTAACCAGCTCTGTATGAGCCTTGGCAAAGACACCCTTCTCAGGTAATGTTGCATGAGATGCCTGAAGTTATTGGTTGTTTTCCCCTGCCTTTTTTTTCTTAAGTTGCTAGGGAACTTACAGTTACAAACTGGATAAGAAGCCATGAACCCAATATGGAAAACATTAAGAAATTATATCTGCATGAACTTTTGCTGGAAGCATGCTTTCATGGTTTCTCTTTGCAGGATTGATCTTGGGAAGCCAGATGAACCTAATCAGGTAGAGCTGGGACGCAAAGATGAAGCCAAAGTTTACAAGATGTTTTTGGACCACACAGGTGAGGCAGTGGATTATTGTATATTTACAGACAGTGGTTGGCAGCAGATGGAATTGAATGTGCATAACAAGCACTGGCGAAGGACTTCTTTTTCTGTCCTGTCGATAAGGAGAACAGGTGGTTCTTCTGTGGACAGGACTCCATTGTGCAGGGGCCCTGCCTTCTGATTTGAACCTGTGCTATTAGAAAAACACTGGCTTGTTGTGTGTATGTTGTTGCTTTTGAACTCTCTGAAATGAACACATGGAATTAGGCTGTTCTGAGCAAGGCTGCCAAAACCAATAAAAGGAAATCTTTGCAGTCACCCTGTGTTATATGTGTTTATATAAGAATTTTTAAAAAGGACTGTAAAATATCTGCAGCTCACTGTAGCCTTGACTGATTTCAAAAAACAAAAGTTTGGAAAGAGATGCTCCTATCTGTCACCAACTGCCAGGGATAGAAGAGAACTCTGTGACCTGTTTGTCCTTAGAACACTTACTGTAATGGAAGAATACCTTCTTGCTGAAGCATCTGGGATTAGTAATTTGAATTTGCAACATATGGACTACCATTCTGATCCAGCATGGAAATCCCCCACATTCCTATGAATGCCTGGGAAAGTCTCGGATTAAGTATGTTGATATCAAAGCTTATCAAATGTGAGCATTAGAAGCCTCAGGAAGTTGGTTTGCTTAGACACAGTCTTAATATGTTCTCTCTTTCTCTTTCCCATACTCCTCTCCTGTTGGCAGGCTCTCATCTCCTGATCGCTCTGAACACCAGTGAATGCCTTTACCTGAATAGAAGCGTTCAGAAAGTGCGAGCACTCTCCCGCTGGAAAGGCCACTTGATTGAAAGTGTGGGCTGGAACAAATTTCTTGGTTCGGAGACCAACACTGGACCTATCCTGGTGGGGACAGCCCAGGGGCAGATCTATGAGGCTGAAATCTCTGTCAGTGAAGGAAGCCTCTTCAGCACTAATCCCGACCAGTACTTCCGACAGGTCTACACTCTGGAGGAGGAATCGGGACCTGCCCCAGTCTGCTGCTTGGAGATTGAACGAGGGATAGAAGGGAAATTTTTTATTATAGCCACCACTCGAAAGAGACTCTTCCAGTTTGTTGGCAAAGTGCCTGAAGGGACAGAGCAGCAAGGCTTCAGCTCCATATTTGCTATGCATGCTGACCATTTGCCCAGCTTCCGGGAGTTTCCGGCCAGCTTTGGTTTCAGCGAGATAGCCTTTTACACCCCAAAACTGCGCTCCAACCCACGCTCCTTTGCCTGGATGATGGGAAATGGTGTTTTATATGGTACCTTGGATTACAGCCGTCCTGATTCAATTTTGAGCGATGAACGGGTCTGGGTTTATCCTTCGGATATTGACATAACTGTAAACAAGCCAATATCCATTGTACTTACCCAGTTCCACTTCCTGTTGCTGCTGCCTGACCGGGTGAAGGCTGTATGCACTTTGAATGGGCAGGTTGTTTTTCAAGATCTGTTCCTGGAGAAGTTTGGCTTACTGACACGCATGATCAAAGATCCCACAGTCCAGCAGATATGGATCCACACTGAGAAAGTAGTGTTTCGCTACCACGTCCAGCGGGAATCTAGAGATGTGTGGAAGATGTATATGAATATGAACAAATTTGATTTAGCCAAAGAGTATTGTAAAGACCGTCCAGAGTGCCTAGATATTGTGCTGGCAAAAGAGGCAGAGCACTGCTTCCAAAACAAGAGGTATCTAGACAGTGCCAAATGTTATGCACTCACCCAGAACTACTTTGAGGAAATTGCCCTTAAGTTCATTGAAGCCAAGCAAGAAGAGGCCCTGATGGAGTTTCTGATTAAGAAGCTAAGTAACCTAAAGCCTTCTGAGAAGACACAGACAACTTTGCTGACCACGTGGTTAACAGAGCTGTACCTGAACTGGCTAGGTATATTGGAAGGAGATCCCTCACAGCGAAATCTCTATTTGGATACACGGGAAAAGTTTCGCACTTTCCTGAGCAGTCCTAAAAACAAAGACTGTCTATTTAATAACCGGGCATCTATTTATGAGCTGTTGGCAAGCCATGGGGACACAGAGCACATGGTCTACTTTGCAGTCATCATGCAGGACTATGAGCGTGTAGTAGCTCACCACTGCCAGCATGATGAGTACGATGAAGCTCTAAATGTGCTGTCCAGGCACAGAGATGAGAAGCTGTTCTACAAGTTCTCTCCGGTCCTCATCCAGCATATTCCCAAGAAGGTAGTTGATGCTTGGATTTCTATGGGCTCTAGACTGGATGCCAGGAACCTCATTCCAGCCCTTGTTAACTACAGCCAGAGTGCCAGCACCCAGCAGATCAATGAAGCCATTAGATATATGGAGTTCTGTGTCTATCAGTTGCAGGAAACCCAGCAAGCCATTCACAACTACCTGTTGTCTCTTTATGCTTTGTGTCGGCCGGACTCGCTGCTGTCATACCTGGAGCAAGCAGGAACCAACCCAAACAGGATCCACTATGACCTGAAGTATGCATTGCGCCTGTGTGCAGAGCACGGGCACCACCATGCATGCGTCCATATTTACAAAGTGATGGAATTATATGAGGAGGCTGTGGATCTCGCCTTACAGGTATGTGTGTATCTGTGCATGCATGCTATGGTATATGGGAACATAGCTTGGTAAAATTATCTTGAACAGCCAAGTGTTGAGAGGAACTGGACAGACTCATCAGTATAGGAGCTGTGCAGCTAAGTCTAGGAAGAAAGACCTGCCTCTGTTAACATACTTCTGTGCTTTCACAATTGTTTTAAGTAGACAGCTGACTGTGACAAGCCATAATTGAGGGTAGGGGCATGGAAAGTACAAGGGGGAGTACTGTCTGTCTTAAGCCCGGTCTCTAATGTAAAATACCTTTAGCGTATATGCATTTATGCAAGACTTGTATAGCTATTGTTGAGGATTCTAATTGCTTCCTATTCCTCGCTGTGATAATTCACAGAAGAATGCCTTTGTCAGCTCAGCCTAACCTTCAGGGAGATGTTGGGATTTTTTCTAGTGGCATTGCTTTGTCTTTGCTGAAATGTTTGGCCAGCAAAGATACTGCAATGTAGATTTGCCCTTACTGTAGTGCTGGGCTTTGTTCTCTGCTGGGTAGCAAGCAAATCTTCAGGGCAATAATACCTGTGGAGAGGAGAGGTGTTTGACATGTAAACAAGGAGGAGGTCAGTAGCACAGCCCTAGGTAACAAGATAGCAATACAAGTTTTCTATTAATGCCTCCTATAATGGACAGCAGGCTTTGAAGTTGAATGGTGGATAAACAAAGAGGGAAGCTTAACTCAGTTTCCTTGTCTGTGCAACTTCTAGGTGGATGTTGATCTTGCCAAGTCCTGTGCAGATCTCCCTGAAGATGATGAGGAACTCCGGAAGAAGCTCTGGTTGAAGATTGCTCGCCATGTTGTTCAGGAAGAGAAGGATGTCAAGAAGGCAATGGCCTGCCTCTCCAGCTGTGCCCTGCTGAAGATTGAAGATGTCCTGCCATTCTTTCCAGACTTTGTCACTATTGACCATTTCAAGGAGGCAATCTGTAACTCCCTGGAGGACTACAACAAGCACATTGAGGAGCTGAAAAGGGAGATGGAGGAAGCCACACAGAGCGCCAAGAGAATCCGAGAGGACATCCAGGAAATGAGAAATAAGTATGGCTCTGTGGAGCCTCAGGAAAAATGTGCTGCTTGTGACTTTCCACTTCTAAACCGCCCTTTTTACCTTTTCCTGTGTGGTCACATGTTTCACTATGACTGTCTCCTCCAAGCAGTTTTCCCAAACCTTCCTGCCTATAAGCAGGCAAAACTTGAAGATCTTCAGAAGAAGCTGGCAGCTACCAGTCAGCCTTCCAAGAGCCACCACCGTCCCAAGGATGCAGATAGCATTAGCTTGGGGAAAGGTCAGCAGAGCCGGGAACAGATCAAAGCTGACATTGATGACATTGTGGCAGCTGAATGTGTGTATTGTGGTGAGCTGATGATCCGGTCCATTGACAAGCCTTTTATTGATCCCCAAAAGTATGAAGAAGAAATGCAAAGCTGGCTGTAGTTTTCCAAATCTGCAACTGTCAGTGCACTGGAGTAGTTTTGTTCACAACTTGTGAAGCTTCCATGGTGGGAATATAACCTCCAGAAGCAGGAACACAGTGGCTTCTGTGGAACTCTAAGGAAAGAGTAGTGGGGTCTTGTTATCAGGATTACAGTGAACTAGTCTTGAAAATGGGGAGATACAGATATGGCTGTCTAAGAACTTGAACAGTAGTTAGAGCTAATCTACTGGAATTTTTTTTTAGCAGATATTTGCTGCTTGCAGTTCTTCTGAGGTTCTCAGTGTGAAGCTAATGGAGTGCCTTGTTGTCCAGAAGGAATTAGGAGCAGCCTATTATTTGTCTTCCCTGTTGTGTGGTATTTGTTTTGGTGAAGACGAGCTTTTAAAGGGAAAGGTAGTGAAGAACACTAAGTAGTCTTCAGTCATCACTGTCAAAGCTAGAATTGCCTTCTGTTTCCTTTTTGCTGAGAGCTTATAACTACACACATGGAAAGAACATGAAAGGACAAATGCTGTTGCATATATGTTTTGTAAACATCATGCTACACAAATACATGTTTCTACACAACGTAATATAAAAATGTGTATAATTCTGAAGCAGGAGTGTCTCATAATACACCTAAGTCATTTGCCTGCAATTCAAGGTGTTTAATTATCTTTCCCATAAGCTTCATGGACAAGCCCATACATCTGAATTTTCTCTAGGTGCTCTTTGCTTTGTTTCTGGCAATACTTCGTAGCCTGTTTGCCCCTTCCTCCCTCCCTCCCTCTCTCCATCCTATTTCTACTGTGACTGTCTTTGTACAGCAGGTCTTGGTTTTGTCTTCACCCAAAACCAAAATTGATATATGCAGTAGTAATGTTTCAACTGATACTTTGCAAGGAGGAGCACAGCCCATTTGTATTGTCCTGCAGTCCTCTTCAAGTTGAACTTGAGCACTAGACTAGAGATCTAGTCACAGGTTCCCTCAAGGGTAGGCTACAGAAAACTTCAGTTGGTGTGAAATTTGAAGCCAGTACCTTGTGACCAGAAAGTCTTTTGCCTTCCTGACAGTATTTGATACTTTCTGGAGATCGCTACAGGTCAGTGCTGCTGTCTACTGCTCTGACTTGGAAAATCCTTCCCAGAAGGAGGAGATCACTACATTTTGGGTGAGGGAACAAAAAATTTTCTTCAGCAATTTGCAAGTGTTCCTGGTTTTATTTTTGAAGAAACTAAAATTTTATTGACATTCTGCTGTTTGGGGCTGAATCACAAAGGTAGTAATTGGCAGAATAATGGAATGATCTAAATAAAATATTACAATTCGTGTAATTAAGACAATAGAAAATACTGTCTTCTGAAAAACCTCATCAGTTCTTTTGCGTGAATTTATATGCTTGTCCTGAGTACCTCTCTCAATCTGCTAGTCACTTACCCTGTTCATAGGGTTGTAGAAATGGGTCTTCACATCATTGACAGGGAATATAAATTGGTCTCCTCAAGAAGCTGACCTAAGAATTTTGATAAGCGTTCAGAGCTCTGGAAGAACATCCATGGCTTTTTGGGAGCTTCAGCCTGGAATGAATGAATTTTATCGGTGTAAAATGACACGGGTAATAAAAACCAGAGACAGTAGGAAGACCTGAGGTTTTGAAATGCTCTTTTCATTGTTGGAGCCGTGGGATAGAGAGTCTCATTACCACCTGGCAGTGTTTGTTGCTGGCTTATCAGAAACCTCTGTTTCAGTGGTTCCGTTAAGCAGTGGTTCAGAAACCCCACGTGCTGCAGTTTTCTTTGTTTCTGGATAGCCTTTTGCTTTGAGTAAGTTGATGGGTCTGCCAGAAGAATTTGTGATGAAAACTAAATGTGATGTCTTTTGAAGTTCAGCATTAAACCTGTTATAACTGGCCACTCCTGAATCATCATCTTTTTGTGTAAGCAGTGTGATATTTAAGGTTGTATATGTCACTATGAAGCAACAGTAGCCCCCCACCCAAACCAGTTTCTGGTCAAAGGCAAGTGGCTGTTTTTCTGCCCTTAAGCAGAAACATTAGTAGCTCATTCTGATGCAGGGAGTAATTTCAAGTTATTTATTTTCTTTGAGATGTTCTTAATACTTGTTCCATCTCTTCTGGGTTTTTTACAGGATGCTTTCATGGTATATTAGAATTACTATAGTCCTCCATTCTTTTCCTATTAGTGCTACAGAGCAGTTGCATCGCTACATGTTTCTGTTGTGCTCTGAAGATTAGCAATATTATTTGCTTACAGACCAATTCCAGGGAGACCTGCTTGTCCATAATACTGGAAGAAGTGTGTGTCTGTGGGAATTGAGGCATAGCAGGTAAATAAAAACCCTCAAGTCTTTGCCTGAGATGGGATGGTAGGAGAAGGCACCTTGAGAACCTACTGATTCCAGTCCTAGGTATTAATGTCTCAGTTAACAAAGCTAGAACTAGGTATTTTTTTTAATGACTAGTATGCAACATTCTGTGAGGGCTGTAGGCTTGTGCATCAGATACATATACCACAAATCTCATGTTTCCTCACCATTGTTAACTGAAAAATCTTTTGGGTCATTTGCTGTCAAGGCCGTGGAGAGTGCCTGCAAAGACTCTGTCTGTGATTAAATGACTAGTGCCAGTAGTACAGGAAGCTACATAAAGATATCTTATGAGCTTTCCTTCCACTGTCACAGGCTTCAAAATTTTCAGTAACCACTCACCTGTGCTGCTTGGCAATTTTGCAATATCGCTCAGTGAAAAAGGTAAGAGGGTTTTTTGGAGGGGTGGAGCGAAGTTAACTGCTTACTGTTCTCCCATAAATCTAATCTGCGAGAACTCTTCCTCTTTGCTTTCAGAATAGTATTTTTATCTTTCCTCTTTGTAATTTCAGTACAGTTACATTTTAGCATTCACAGTTCTTTGTATGTTTTTTTAGCTGTGAATGAACTGTGTGCCAGCTCTTACAAGTGATGTGGCCTTGGACCTTGTCTGTGTGAATAACCTCTACCGTTTAGTTTAATGCAGCTAGAGAACTGCATAACCGAAAGGGTGGGAGCCCCCAGCCCTATTTAACCAGAATAAATATCCGTAGCTAGATTTATGCTGCAGAAATATAGTTGTGCAGGCAAAGCCTAAAGCAAACATGCCTACTACCTCACCTCCTAGGCTTCACACAAGGGATTGGGGAAACACTGCAAGTTGGGAGAGACAATAGTGAGCATGTGTTATGGAAGTGTTTGTAGAGAATTTTGATCATAGAATCATAGAACGTTTTGGGTTGGAAGGGACCCCTAGAGGTCATCTAGTCCAAACCCCTGCAGTGAGCAGGGACACCACTAACTAGATCAGGTTGCTCAGAGCCCCGTCCAACCTGGTCTTGAATATTTGTTTCCAGGGATGGGGCCTCCACTACCTCTCTGGGCAACCTGTGCCAGTGTTTTACCACCCTCACTGTAAAGAATTTCTTCCTTGTATCCAGTCTAAACCTAACCTGTTTTAGTTTAAAACCATTACCCCTTGTCCTGTCACAGCTGGCCCTACTAAAAAGATTTTCCCCATCTTTCCCATAGGCCCCCTTTAAGTACTGAAAGGCCGTAATCAGGTCTCCCCGCAGCCTTCTCTTCTCCAGGCTGAACAAGCCCAGCTCTCTCAGCCTGTCCTCATAGGAGAGGTGCTCCAGCCCTCGGACCTTGGAAGCAGCTAACTGAAACGCTGAGAGCTGTGTGTTTCATCTACTTTCTAAAAATAAATGAGCTGGAAACTTAGTAAGGCAAATTCTTAACAAGCCGCTAGATGTCATTGCTGTCTATTTAAACACTGAGGTTTGCTGCAGAGAAGCTAAAGATGTTACATAGCAGGACAAAGAATGGTACAGAACAGTGAGGAACTGAAGCAGGTTCCCAGTGCCTTTGAGGGGGCAGGGTGGAGACAGAGCTGTAAGGTAGTTATTGGAGTCAAAGATGCTAAAAAATAATTGCCTCTAATCAAAAGCCATTTCAGTTCACAGATCACTGTTTTACTCTGTTAACAAGCGAGTATCAGTCCTCTTTTGTTTAATTGCATTCCAGTTCCTACAGACCTAGCTGATTTAGTGAACTGTAGAGAGACCATCCCTGGGCTTGGGAGTTGCAGTATCTGGTGGCCTTGGGTCTGGCCATTTTTGCTTGCTTCCTCTTCACCCTGTCCTGGCAGCAGAGATGGTAGAAGTGAATGTGAGTCAGCTCCTTAATTGCCCGAGTTCCCATCTTAAGTGTGTTTTGTTAAAAGCACCAGTGAAGCTGGGTTTGTAGTATATTGGATGCAGACTTGCATAAACAGGGAAGTTACTGTGTTTGCTTTTGCCTCTGAGTTGTGGGGTCAGGATCCCAGTACAGGGGCAAGTGGGAGAAGGAAGATCTTGTACTCTGTCAAAATTAGATGTTGTAGTTTGACTCAAACTGTAGTGATGTATTAGCATGTAGTTCTTGGAATGGCTAGTTCTCATTCACTACTGCTCTGTCACTGTCAGCGTATAGACTATGTTTACAAGTGCAAGTACTTGACTTCTGGTGGGAATTGATGGGAAATTTGTTGTTCCTTGCATCCCTTCATCCAACAACCCTGTACCAAGCTGTGGGAAAGCAGACTGAAAATGGGACTCTTCCTTGCAACATGTGCTGAGCTGAAATTTGGAGTTTAAAATACACAAGACTTATGGAATTTTTGATTTTTAAATTATTTTTATTCAAGTGGATTAAATCTTTGTGTCCAGATTAGATGGAGTACAATGTGAATCACTGTGGTATGTGTAGTGTTTATGAGAGAATCTTATGGCATCCTCAAAGCAGAGAGGGGCTCACCAGGATCTCCTATTCTTTGTGTACATGGGTAAGGGATGCCCTAGAAAGGAGAGGAAATGGTGGTTTCTATAAAATAATTTGGCTGAACTTTATGTATCTGACTGAGAGAAGCTTCCCCAAATGAACTGTGATACTGGGGGGTCTGTACTTTTCACACTGAGGTGATGAAGAATAGGAATTTTGGTAAAATTGAAGAGCTTAGGGTTTGAAAGAAGAACAACTATCTGCTGTCTCTGATCATGCCCAGTCCAGACTTTACACCTTATGAGCCCTCTAGGATTTGAGCTTCATGCCCTTACTGTGATTTTGGAGACTGGTGATACTTCCCCCTCAACTCGGTGTTTGGGTTTTTTCACTCCTATATGTCATGGAAAGACATCAGGCTACAGGGTATGAGCTTCAAAGCAAACCTGGCCTGCAGCTGCTTTCAGGTGGAAGGAGGGGAAAAAGATTAAACATACTTGTTAGATCTACCTGTTGAAACTGGTTGGGATGGAGAGAAAAAGGGGCTTGGGCGTTTCCCCCTGTAATGCCCAGAGGTATTGGAGGCAGCTTGTTTGAATGAGGCTGGTTGCTTAGGAACAAGGAAGCTACAGGAGCATGCTAAGGTTGCAAGCACAGCTCTAACTGAGCCTGCAGACTCTCTTTGTGGGGCAGCTCTGCAGAGGATGGCTTCCAACTTGCAGCAAGTCAGCATTGGGTTCAGACTTGCAGGAGTGCTTCATGGCCCCTGTGGTGACCTATGGTTGTAGAGCTGTTTTAATGCCGCACTTGAGCTGCAGAGCTTGGTCGGTGTGGGAATAAGCACAGCTGATGTGTCTGTACAACACCAGAGATTTCCATCCTATGCTTCCAAACGCCACATAAATACCCGTGTTTTGTAAAGGTGTGTACAGACTGTACCTGATATGTGTCAGGTAGTAGTTTTGGCATTTCCTGACTTTGCAGGGGTTTGTATATTCCTGCTATGCTGCCAGATTGGCTGTAGGCTGGGTTGTCTTCAGAAGATGATTTGATCTAGCCTTTTTTTTGCTTAACATGTAGTTTGTTTGCTTCATCTGTAACTGAGAATACTACTGGTAGAGGTTTTTTTTCAATGAACGTCTTCAGAAGAAGCTGAACCATAGCCAACCCCTCCTTTCATGCTCCATATTGAATGCTTCATTATAGGTGGTGACTT